AGGGGATCTATATATGTCAGCGGAAGTATGTACTTGACCTCCTAGAAGAGACAGGCATGATAGGGTGTAGACCAGCAGATACTCCAATAGAACAGAATCATGGTCTACAGGAATCAGTAGGGGAGGACTACTATGATAAAGAGAGATGCCAAAAATTGCTAGGGAAACTGATATATCTATCTCTCACCCGACCAGATATTGCTTATGTTGTGCATGTTGTCAGTCAGTTCATGCACTCTCCAAAGATCCCTCATATGAGAGCAGTTGAAAGGATTCTCAAGTACTTGAAGACTTGCCCAGGAAAGGGAATTCTATTCAGAAAACAAAATAAAATTGAAATTAAAGCTTATACTGATGCAGATTGGACCGGCTCTGCTGGGGACAGAAAATCAACTTCAGGATATTGTACATTTGTTGGAGGGAACCTGGTTACATGGCAGAGTAAGAAGCTGAATGTGGTTGCTAGATCAAGTGCGAAGGCTGAATATCGAGCTATGGCTCATGGTGTTGCTRAACTTCWGTGGCTTAGGACCCTTCTTGGTGAGCTTGGCATAAAAGCTGAGGGTCCTCTCAGGCTGTACTGTGACAACAAGGCTGCCATCAACATTGCAAATAACCCAGTACAACATGACAGGACGAAACATATTGAGATTGATCGACTTTTTGTTAGAGAGAGAATAGTCTCGGGAGACTTCTGCATTCCTTATACTCCATCCAAGATGCAAATTGCAGATGTGCTGACTAAAAGGGTTGGCTGCAACAAAATTCTTGGACCTTCTTGGCAAGCTAAACATGACTGACATCCATGCTTAGCTTGAGGGGGAGTGTTAAGTTGACTATTTTTATGTATTGTTGGTTCGGCTGATAAATGTACATGTTAGTTAGTATTGGGTTTTAACCTATTAGGTATTGGGACTTTGTTATTGGGCCCAAGTCTGTTTAGTGTTTTAAGCAGTATGGGTGTCCCATCACTAATCAGAGGGGCATTCCAGACATTTCATGTAACACTGTATTGTAATCTACTATAAATAATARTAYTGTCRACTRRGTTACTCAGTTCGACATTCTCAGCACTTGTTTGCCTTCACCTCTCTTCTACTACTTCAGCTACAACCTTTCAATAAACACTATCTATGTTACCTGGATACAGCAAGGATATGATTAGATTCAGTACCAAAAATGAAATTATATATGGCACCCTTGTGCAGGTATCTGGGTATCATAGAAAACTACTAACTATAGACTGTCTAAACAAAAAAAAGACACTCCCCAAAGAAAACATGAAAGTAGAAACTATAAATTCAGACACTGTTGTCAGCTTCCAAATCTGCATGCAATCAATGGTTCCTCCTTCTCTAATATGTTCTAGCAACTTTGGGATGCTCAAACCTCTCCAGAAATTTATTTGATGTATCCTCTAGTGTTGTAGAAGGCTGAACTAACTACATCATGTTGGCTTTCCCCTTTGCTAATCCATTTCCTCATGTACACCTTGTATAATTTGTTCTTTTTTATTGTTTTGTTCTTTCAGACTCAGCTTGGGAAGAGTGCAAATACAATGTTTAGAAATACTGTATACAAGGTTTTGTACTGAACGTATTTGTATTTGCACTCTTCCCAAAGTCAGCCTTAAGAAAATCTTCCTACTGACTAAAAGGATCCTTTTGAGCTTAAAACCATTCTTTCACATGCTAAATTAATTTAGTATATTGGCATAGAATATTAGCTATAAATATTGGGTTATCCAATGCAGTTTGATTTCATTAATAAAAGAGCAGCTCACTGTTCATGAGAGATCATGGCCTGTCAAGAAACCATATGGAAAGCTTTACATGCATTCATACTTTAAAAAATGTCTTAACAGCCAACTGGACTGATTAGTAACTGTTTGAATTTTGGAATACTACTTGACCTAATTAGGTGAACCTCCAAACTGTTACCACATATTGAACCATGGGATATGGCACAACAAGTCTGAATCCATGTTGTTACAAGACTTCAACTGTTCATTTCAAGTTGAGCTGATCCTGAATGCATGTGTCCAGGTACACACACATGCACATGCACACACACAGACTGAAGCACCATAGTGTCAAAAAAATTAAATAAAAAGAGTTCCCAGTCTTTATTTTTCTGGGATTTGGCACTGTAGAATATTTTCAATTAATATGGAAAGCATTTGAAGTTGTTATTATGTTATTTATCATCTTATAGAGCTCATTGCCCTTTTGAACACAAAGGACTAAGGATTTAAGTGAAGGAAATGAATAATATCCAATGATCACTGAAAACATACAGCCTTGTTTGCAGAATAAAGCTCATCTCTACAGCTTATTTTGTCTGTCCTTTACATTTTTTGCAAGCAATATTTTTCACATTATGTATCTGTGTTTAAACAGATATTCAAACTCCGACCAATTATCAGATTGTCCTTCATGGTTGAATGAACAGTTTTGACCTAGACAAGAACCAAACTATTAGCTGAAACATAAGAAAATTCCAATATTTCAACAAGATCCAAAGAAAATATTTTAAATAATAAGCATGAAAAAATGATCTTCAGCTTCTCAGCTTCTCTTATTTTCTCCCCTTTTTTCCTCACTGATATCTTTCCTGTTTCTTTTCAGTTCTATTCCATGTGAATTCCTTTGACACCTATCTTACTTTCTAATTTCTATTAAATTTAGAATTATCAAAAAAAATTCTATTAAATTTGGACTGAATTGAAGAAAAATATTCTTTACAGTTATGGTTCCATATATATCTGAAACTACAACTGAATGTTGAAATTTTCAAAGTTCCGTAGGAATTCAAAGTTGTGATTTTCATCAAGTTATGTTCTACAGAGTGGGACTTTAATTGAGTTTCTTAACAGAAGAAAAATAACCTTCTGAAATAAACGGAACAAACAAAGACTAATGGGGTTGCAATTTGCAAATGTTATCATGCCAACATCATTATTTTTTTAGCAATAACATAAAACTTTATCATAGGAAAATAATCAAAAGTAAATATAAGTTATAATTATCCTCATTGTCGTACAATTTCTGGCCTTAAAAAGAAAAGGAACTGACATGGTAAATTCATGACAACAGGCTCGTCAATAGAGATGCTAAAATGGGACTTTAGAGATTTACCAACGGTCTCGCAAATCAAGTTCAGATCCTGCCGTATCTTGATTGTTGGCTTCAAGCATCACTCTCAACTCTGCCGTCGTGACATGCTTTTTGAGTTCATCTTTTATGGCCCACAATTCCTTGGTTTGAGCCTCCAGCTTCTGCTCCAGCTCAGAATCATTGCCTTCAGCAGGAGACTTGGTCCCAGAAACAGTTTCTTCTACTTTAGGAACTTTTGACTTCTGTTCACCGCTAACACCCTTTTTCCGTTTAGTGCCAGTTGTGGAAGTTGATTGTTGCAGCAAATCTTTATTCTCTTGTGTGTCAACTTTTGAAACAAGAAAAAAAAAATTGCCAGGTTTATCAACATAAAAAGGCACACATACTCAAATATAATGTTCTCAGAAGCATTGCCAAGAAATTATCAACAGAAACAGAGTTCAGTACCATTTCTAGCGGTGGAAGTACCCTTTTTAGTCAGTGCACGAATAGCTTTCTGATCTTGAGCTGAAAGACTATCCCAACCAGACAATTTCTCTACCTGTGTGGATGGAGATAATTCCACAAAACAGTTGGCATGATGCCATGCCAGGCCCTTTGTACCCTGTCCATCAGGTTTCGTTGATATACGGACCTAATAACAAATACATCATAGAAAAATCAGTAAAATCAAAAAAAAAAAAAACTTAAGATTTCAAATATATAATAAAGAATGTATCATTCAGAATGTACACAGACAAGCAAAACAGACTTGTCAATTACATCACATACCATATAGGTACATAGTAACTGCATACGCACTAAAACCCTAGCAAATCTAATGAGTCTTAAGTGTTACCTCAGGTGTTGTATTCATCAGGAAGATCCGAACTTAGAGAAACCAAGCCACCAACTACTGCTTTTTTAACCTTTTTCGGTGGAGTTTTGATCAGCACAATTGGGATCTCTGTTGCCATTATTAATGTCTAATGTCTAACCATTATTTTTTGGATCAGTAATGTCTAACAATTATTAAGAAAGTTGATTTCACATTTTTATTAAATGGAACACATAAGTTTCCAAACCACTACCCACAGCAGAGCTATTTTCTATCCCAAAACACACAAGACGCAACCATGATTTCTAGGAAGCTTAAATACACAATCAACTATAAAATATAAAAAGTTATTTTAAAGAAGCTACCTACAAAGTAGTCATTGATACATTGCAGACACTAAAACAAAATACATAAGGGCACTAAGAATGTTTTTGAAGACAAACTTGCAAGCATTAGGACATATTTCCATATTATTATTCCACTAAACACTTTTCCAGTTGCATAGCAATGCACACTACAAACACAAAGCAAGTGCTTCTCTTTTATAAACCTCTATAACTCGTGTATATGTCCAAGCATCTGGTTTCTCAACTACAAATCATGAAAAACCAGCCTATCAAGGCCTGCCTAAAAATCCCCAAATGCTGAAACAAAATAACGAACTGTTAAAACATGATAATTACCTCTCCTTTGATAATCTTCTCATTGCAGCGCTTACAAGTAGCACGAGAGGTCTGTGAAACTTCAATACCACAATCATTAACAGCAACAGCAGTACTATTTGAGGATGGACCACTCTCTACATACTTTTTTATCTTCTGCTGGTCCTCCCAACGAAGTAAGTCTAAGCCTTCAACATCATCAAGGCTAAAATTGCAATAGAAAATATTGAAGTCAATAGTCACACATAAAAGTAGCAACAGATCATTTCTTTAGTGGTGATTGTAATTTGTAAAATCAATCATGAAAAGGCATACCTTTTAATTTGGTTTGCTTTCTTGAGAATGCAAGAAGCATGGTTCCACATCTGTTTCAAGAAGAAATAAAGTCAAATTTGATCTTGCTGATATAAAGAAGCTTACAAAGAAATGCTATATTACCCAGATATGGCAAGGGCATGGTATCTGATATAAAATTTACACTAAAAATTCAAGTATCGAAAACAATATGGCGTCCTTGTACAGGTATCATAGGGTAGATGATGGTTACATAACTAAGTAGAAAATTAATGAAATCTAACTACAAGAAGCCAACTACATTACCCACATACAGCAAGGACAAAGCTGGACAAGGGGTCAGATGCAGAACATACACTGAAAACTAAGTATCCGACACAATATAGCACCCTTGTGTAGGTATCTTGGTATCATAAGGAGCCAAATAAGAATGATAATAATCTCCCTATGAGTAAAGAAGAAAGTAAGACTTAATCAAGACAATCAAAATATAAAAGCTGAAGGGCTTTCCCCATCACAGTAAACACACTGTTTTGTGCAAAATACACACAATTGAAGCTGTAAGAGGAAGTATATACCAGAAGACTCCTTGAGGTGTATTAAACATATGAAGCTGCAAGGAGAAAAGACTTTAATTTACTTGTTAAAACACCAAGAGGGACACCAAACATCAAACAAGTTGAGCCGGAGCCATTTTGTTTTATTTTATTTTACCTTCCAAACTACATGACAAAAATTGGTTGTATATGATGATCCAATTGAATGGACATAATTAATTATGATATTGGTGTTTTCTCCATTTGGTGAATAAGTTTCAAATGGAAGCACAAATCACATCATGTTAACATCCATGGAAAGAGTTCCCTCTTTCTTTTTCTTGATAATAAAATAAAATTTGTATTAAAAAGGAAAAAATAGAAATGTTGATAAGAAATCAACAAACAGAAAACAAATGTATCACCCCACTTTGCTGATAACATCATAACAATACAAGACCCAACCTCAACTGCGAAAGAAAAGCAACCCAAAAAGAAGAAAACATGCACTTGTCTACATAAATTTCCACTAAAAGCCCAAATCAAGAGATAACAAATGGAACAAGACACTGAAGCTTCTCAAATGATCACCAATTCTTTCCCAGCCTCTAACAAATACACATTATAAGTTCCAATTCACACCCATGTCCAGAATTCTTTCAAACTTTAAGAAAACATGACTTCAATACTCAATGCCATCCCCACTATATATCCTTCAATTAATGATTACCACATCAACAATACAAGCTGGGCTCCAAAGATACCAAATAAATGGCTTTTCATTCTGTCTTCTTCAAGCTGAATAAATACTTTCCTGGCATTGTCCTCTCATCCTAGGAAAAAGAGCCCAATTTTTTTCCAACTTCTATATCTAATGTCAACCTCTCTCTTAAAATCGAATGCCTTGCCTACCTTATGAGATTTATCCAATACATCAGAAACAATTATACCTTCCTTCTCAGTCACATGCACCACATAAAACATCCTCTTCTCCTAGACAGTCCTTATTCCCTAACTGTAACATCAAAGACTGAAAGAAGTTCTCAGCCAAATAAGAATTGCAATTCTGTTTCTGAGGGCCACTCTCAACTGGCATGACCGGGGAACACATTCCTGCTTCCTTTGAAACACCATACAAGAAGTCTGAGGTATTAATTTGTAAACTATTAGAGCTATTGCCACCCTATGCAACTGTTTCCACAGCCAAAGAATCCTTGCGGAGATTGCCCATTGAAGATGGATCAAATATCAACTCCCTTGTTACAAAAATCTTTGTTCACCTGCTCAAACATAGTAGCTGACAGATTTGAATCCTCTAGCACTCTTCGCTTAAAAACTTACTTAACCTTCTTTTGGGGGGCCAACCCCAAACAAACTCTCTTTAAGATGAGCAAAGATTTTAGAAACATGACTAGTCTTTGGTTCTTCTTTTTCTTATAACATCTACAAGCACTTAAGATTCTCTTCTCCCTTATAAACCTACTTAACCTTCTTTTGGGAGACAACCAAACTCTCTCTAAGATGAGCAAAGATTTTCAAGACATAGTAGTCTTTGGTTCTTCTTTCCCTTATAACATCTGGAAGCACTTAATATTCTTTTATCTCCCTTCTTTCTTCTTAAGTCCCAAGTTATCCAGCATCAAAGCATCCCTTTGAGAAACAATTGCTCTTCAACCAAATCTACACCCACTCTAGTTATTGGAACTTCAGTACAATCTACCAAATATGTTTTCTTTCCATCACCATTACCACTATAAATGTCCCCCCCTCAACCCACCCCAGCTTGCCTAGGTGCCACTTCTAATCCTAGCATGCCACAAACCAAAAAGCCACTCAAACTGCAGCATATCAAATCCCCCTCTGCCTCATCACTGAACGACTTGACAGCAACTCCAACCTCATCAGCCATCACCACATTTCCTCACACTAAACCCTCATGGAAAATAGCTTCCAACTGGTTACACTTTGAATATATACCTCTCCAATGAAACTACAGTTTTGAGATTATAAAGTCTATTTGGAACCAATCTCCTTTCCATCCAACTTCTCAGACATGCCAACTACCTCCAAAATGAAAAGATCAGGATTTCTCTCTGATTTTTAACATATGGCACAACCACATATCTCTAATGATAATACCGAAGTTGATAGATCCTTTTTTTCCCTGGCCGTGTCTCACAAATCTCAAACATCCCTTATCACTCTTGATAACTTCATTAACCTGAAAATCAATAGAACCATGATCACTAAATTTCACCATTGAAGCACCAGATATCATTTCCTCTACACCCTACCACACGAATGATGTTTATTTCTAGAATGATATCGTGTCACCATCATAGGCAACAAGGCACCCATGGAGGGTCACCTCACTTAATCACCAAGGTATTTTGTACATGGTGTTAATATATGATTTTATATTCTAAATTTTCTAAGATTATAATAATGGAACAGGCATTATTAAACTAATTATTCAGTTTGTGAGTTTAAACACTAGTTTCATTTTATCATTTTCTTATTTGCAAGGTTCAAAATATCGCAACATATCAGGCTGTATCGACCGATACGTATCGTTTCGACAAGAACCCGATACACGGAACGTGTATAAATCATTTACTCCATTTCTTTTCATATGTATCAGACTGTTTCAGATCTGTATCGACTGACACGGGCCCGAAACAGTCTGATACAGCCCAATACATTTAATCATTTCAGTTCCCCTTCTTCCATGAATTTCGTTAATCTATATTTAATACCGAATCTCTCTCATTAATGTCGTTAATTACTCCTATATTTAAGTCTAATTTCCCTTTCATTAATTAGTTAATTACTCCTATATTTAAGCCAATTTTAAACTTAAATCTGAATTTTAGCGCCTAATTCAAATTCTCTCATTAATTCCATTAATTAGTGATCCTCTATCTCATTAATTTCATTTTGTTAGTATACAAACTACAAACTTTAACAAGAGCAAGACTTGAACCAAGGTTCAAAATATCGATACGTATCGGGTCATATTGGCCGATACGTATCGTATCGGGGGCTTCCCGATACGCCCCTACAAGGGGTGTTCCGGGGTATCGACCGGTTCAAAGGGTGGACGGACCCTAAACTGGTCCCTCTAAACCATATTCGAAAAAAAAAAAAACTAAAAAAATTAAAATAAAGCTATCGATACTGCCTGATACGCCTCTACCAACATATCAGGCGTATCAATATTTTGAACCTTGGCCTGAACCTTGGTCACTAGATTTTAACGACCATAAGTTCGCCACTAAGCCACACCCATTTGTTTTCTATGATTATGTGCATTTTTAGTTTTAAGTAAATTTTCTCTTCTCTTAGTAGGGTGATAGGTATTTTATTAATAAATGCTAGAATTAATTATTAAAATTTATATAGTAATAAATATTAAGATAAATTATATTGGTTATTTGAAAATTGATGTATATACATTCACATTTTAATTATTCCATCATTTTTCAATGTTACTAATTGTTTCCCGATATGTCACACTTTATATAAACCATTAAATTATGGTTTTTTACATTTAAATGACTCATTTACATTTTACAATTGTATAAAACTTGTAATTATTATTAGTAATATATCTTTTAGGATTTATTTGAATTTCCTAGCATAATTATGCATATCTTGATTTTTCATTCGTGTCCATGCGTATCCAAAGTGTATCCTGATACGTCTCTTAAAATTGTCTTTTCGATACACCTTGTGTTTCTGATACTTTGAACCTTGCTTATTTGTTAGAGTTCAACCATTCAATGAACATGTATGCTGTCTACCCTTAAAGATTTCAAAACCCGAACTGATAAGCAAGGAAGAACACAATTTTTTTCCAATAAATACATATTGATTATTATTTTCTTCTTTTAGCCTTTCTTTTTTTTTTCTTTAGGACAAAATAGGGGTTCAGCCCCTCTATTTTCTGAAATTTCTTTTTTTTTTCTTTCTTCTATTTTTTCATGAATATGTTGATTTTATATGTTTTAAAGGAACTCATTCACTTTTTATGAAGATAATAAACAATTACCAGTGAAAGATGGTTGATGCCTGCTATGGAACCTAGGAAACTACCCTAGAATTCATGGTTAAAAAAAAAATCCATCACCTAGGCAGCTAGGCAACAACCCCCCCTGTCAGCTAGCTTTGCTTGGCACCTTGAAACCAATGGCTACCATCCACCAAAAGTTATCAATCCTAGAGTGAATTACCATTATCCAAAGGGACCTCTTATAATCTGCAATCTATGATGAGAGCAGAAACTCCTCTCACATGCCCAAAATTGCAAATCAGCACTGCCTAGACCATGCCAAAACCTCTCGAGAATTTCCCATCAAAACTGTCTAGATGCCCTAAACTTTTAGACAAATCTCCTCCATTTAAAAAAACACCCTTCTATAATCCCACTGAACCATTTATCACAACAGAACCCACCACAAGCCTTCTTCAGTCTCCTATTTATGTAAATGCACAGCACCAAAATAATCCCAACCACCCTTTAAATACCCAGGCAAATTTAACCGCTACCTGCACACACCTTTCCCCACGTGTCCTCTACCTCCACTTGAAATATCCAACATATCTTCGCCACTAAAGATTCCCTTAGGCTCAGTTTGGAAATAGTACAAATACAAATTTGTAGAGTGAAAAACCTTGTATTTTGTATCATTTTGTATGTATTTACACTGTACATATTTGTGTTTGTACTCTTTCCAAACTGAGCCTTAACTTCTACTCCCCGCCCTGACCTTTTGACTTCCAATTTAGACCACCTAAACCAGAAGCCCTCTACTTGACATCCCCTATAAATCAACTTTTTTACTCCCACCACTCACTCTATTCTTCAAATCCAACAGCAAAACTAAGTCCTCTTCAATTACTCTCAAATCATATTCCTTCCCTGCAAACATCTATCCATTTCTAGTGTAACACAGTAAACATCATTGATATCTACAACAATTCAAGTGTGATTAATGAGCTTTCAACCAAGATTTCTCCTATCCAAACTGACACAAATTGATTATAATAATCACCAATCATCCTGAAGGCTAGAAGACACCATGGACGGAGAGGAATACCAGCAACAATAATCCAAACCAACTTTGAGATTTTGTCATATCTCATACCTAATACACCCTAACCAAAGGACACCAACAATCAATCCCAAAATTAAGGAAATAAAAAACTGTTTCCAATTGAGCACCACTAGGGCATCTTCTTTGTTGTTAAAGCAGAACAAAAAGAGACCCCTGCCCAAGGCTTTAACCTCAACATAATACCCAAAGCTCCATTCATAAGAAGCCAACCTTGAGACAAACCCCACATCAGGATCAGAACCTAAAAATCGTCCAATCAAACAACACACCAAAAAATTAACTCAATTCCACAAACCTCCTTTTATCTTTTATCTCCACTGTATGCAAACTTACATTCCTTCCCATTACAAATTCTCAGAGCTTTCCCCCCCGGATGCGTTTTCCTCTCTCAAAACTCTACATTTTTAGTGTTTAAAAAGGAGGGGAAACCCAAAAAAAAAAATGTTTTAGTTTTCATAACCAGCAAAAAACAAAAATGAAGCACGTCCCAAGCACAACTTATGATGATATAGTTTGTGTAGGCATGCCAGTACAGCTTCTATCAAGAAGTGATACAGTTCTGTTTTTACCAAGAATGAAATGGTGTGGGTTTTTCTTATTGACTAAATATGCTAACTTGCTAAGTTGCCAACTTCAAAGTTAGAAAGGGAACATAACGGAAAATTTAATCAATCCTAGAATAGCAGCAGAATTTCCATAGTAAGACACCTTCCAGCATCAAAGCTTTAGAGAGTATACCAGTTAAAGTAAATAGTAAAATGCCTTTGCTCCCACACTACTAAATCAGGAATTTAGACAGAACCAATAAAATAGCAACCCAAATTTCTCTTGCATGTTAAAGTAGCCACAGTTGGATTAAACCAGGACTCTAGATGCAAATGATTTTGAAAAGGGTTACCCTAGTGAATAAAAGACAAATCCAATAAGAAACTTAAAAACAAACAGCTCTTTGGAAATTAATCTAAAATTAGAAGGAACTTTCACATCATAAGGAACACAAACTACAATTATATGGAAAAGACACGCATTAGACTTGAAAAAAGTATCAACCACGGGTATGGCCTTAAAAAAGTTTACACTGCCCATATAAGCTTAACAGCAAATAGCGAAATGCAGTTGATGGGTCCACATATTCTTGGTTTTTCTTGATTTCAGTATCTTATCAGGCCCAAATTGATGTCGGACCCAAAAGAGCATTAAATGATATGATATCTGCATGTTAAAGGTCAACTATATAAGACGATAGAAAAGAAAATATGTATTTAAATAAATTATCAAAAAAAAAGAAAATATGTATTTAAATAAATTATCAAAAAAAAGAAAATATGTATTTAAAGTGTGCCATTTTGTTAACTCCAACAAAATGGCGTTAAAAACCTTTAAAGTGTCAAGTATCTCCTTCACCTAAATACGTTTGTAGTTGCATAAACCTAATGCTATTACCATTCGTCCATGAACTGTCGCAGATATCAAATGGTAGTGTAGAAAGAGAAAGACTGAAGAAGTGTAAACAATCCTCAACCGTTGCATATCAAATTAGCCATTCTTCCATTGGGGTTCTCAGGGCCAATATCAAAAAAGAGAAGGCACAAGAAAAGAAACGAATAAAGTGACAAAGAACGTTTTTTAAAAGAAAATGGGAAGCCATTAACCGAACAACCTTATTGAGCAAAAAAAAAAAAGACAAACCAAATTCATGTACCCAAAAGCCAAAAGAATTTAACAACACATTCATCAAAAAAAAAAAGTATTTAATAACACAAAAACTGAAACCAAAACCCATAAAACATGAAGCCACATTTCATCAAACGGAATCATCTCTAAATGAAAGAAACTCAACGTGATTCCAGCACTAAAACCTTGGTGAGAAGATGGAGAATGAGTCAATGAACCAAGCAATAGAGAAGAAAGGAGCGAAAAGGGAAAATAATGAGGATTTCTTAAGAAAAATTACAGGCATGAAACCATCGAATTGGGTAGCTTGGACCATTTTCCCCAATCTAAGTTTCTCCTTGTCTATGTTATTCTTGCATGTTTTGCAGGACGACCTCGACGACTTTGCATACTCCACTTTCCATGGCTTCGGCGGGTTCGCCATTTCCTTAACCCGCAGACCTTCTCAGTTCTCACTGATCACACACTCACTCTCCTCCACTCTACCACTCTACCACTCTACCAGAAGCGAGAGAAAATGCAGTTCTTGTTACTTTCCTCTATCGTATCTCGTAAGCTTTCGGACTTCTGCACATTTTAGAGATACGAGATTTTTGCCGCTAGCTGCTTCCAGGTGTGACCGTGTGAGAACAAAACCGAAAATGGAACTTGTCCGATCAAAACGGATTCAGGAATCCGAATTTGATTCATTTATATATTCGAATTCGAATCGAATCTAAATCTTTATCCGCCAGATTTATATCGAATTCGGATTACGATGGATTTTTTTAAGAGGTTTCAATAGATGTTGTTAGAGTACAAATGTTCAAAACCTTATTATATTATTAACGACTAGAGAGACCCGAGAATTTATTAACTAAAAGTTAAATAATAGAAAGAGTCATTTATTAAAATATTTTTTATAGTTTTATAAATTTATTATTAAAATTTTTGTAATAGATTTAATCAATATTTCATTAGATGATAGTGTTGACCCTAATATTCATTTAAATAAATTTAATAAAAATATTATTTTTGCCCTTAATAAGACACCAACAATCATTCTATTAGTTATATTTGATCAATTTTATTTTATATAAAGAAAGAGTATTTAAAAAATTATGGGTCCAATGATAAAACAAACACTCTTTAATTAAAAGTTGATTAAGTAAATAAAATGTAGATGTTTTAGTAAAATGAAAACTATAAACCTGGCCAGCCCAGGCCAATATCACAGACCATTCCCGAGCTATATAACCAATATCACAGACCACGGATGCTAAGCCTGGCCCAGCCCGGCCCATGATCATTCATACCATACGGCCATACTTCTATGATTTATCTGGTGATGTGACACAGTAATCGCGTTGCTCATGCAGCCAGGCACCATGAACCTGATGGTTACTCACAAACACCACCTCTCCCCTTCACTCCTCCCACACACAATTCACAGACTCGAAGCCTCCAAAATTAAACTCAACCATCAGGAAGCAACCTCTCCTCTTCCCCCGCCAATTGAACAATTCAACCTGGAAGAGACCAAGCAAATCCATTCCCACATGATCAAAACCCATTTTGACCCAAGCCATCCCCTTCCCTTTGACTCCATTCAACGGCATTCCAGCCCTGCCTCACAATTCAACTTCCTCATCACTTCATACATCAAGAACAACAGACCCAGAGACGCGCTATCAATCTATGCTCATATGCGCAACTCCGATGCCGAAGTCGACAATTTTACCGTACCGTCCATCCTCAAAGCATGCAGCCAGCTCTCGTGGGAACAGCAAGGGAAAGAGATACATGGGTTCGTATTAAAGAATGGATTGGATATGGATGTTTTTGTGAATAATGCATTGATACTTGTGTATGCTGAATGTGGAAGCATCAACTCAGCACGGCAGATGTTCAATAAAATGCCGGAAAGAGATGTGGTGTCTTGGAGTACGATGATCAGAACCTATAGTCGGAGTACCTCCTACGATGAAGCATTGGATCTCATCAGAGAAATGCATCACTTGCAAGTGAGGCCCAGTGAAATTGCCATGATAAATATGATAAATCTTTTTGCAGACATTGGGATAATGGAGATAGGGAGGCCTATGCACGCTTATGTCATAAAAAGCAGCAGCTCTGTATCAATTCGCACTCCTACTGTTACTGCTTTGATAGACATGTATGCCAAGTGTAGAAGTATAACTCTAGCGCGACGGCTTTTTGACAGATTAACACACAAAAGCATTGTGTCATGGACTGCCATGATAGCAGGATACATTCGTTGCAATTGCTTTGAAGAGGGAGTGAAACTTTTTGTGGAGATGCTGGAAGAAGGTGTGATTCCTAACGAGATTACGATGCTCAGTCTGGTTTTAGAGTGTGGATCTACAGGGGCTATAGAGCTGGGCAAGCAACTGCATGCCTACATACTCAGAAATGGATTTAACATGTCGGTTGCTTTAACCACAGCTCTGGTTGATATGTATGGCAAGTGTGGTAGGATTTCAAGTGCAAGAGCCCTCTTTGATGCTATGGACGAGAGAGATGTCATGACATGGACTGCTATGATCTCAGCATATGCACAGACCAAATGCCTTAACCAGGCTTTAGATCTATTTATCCTTATGAGAAATGCAGGCATAAAGCCCAATGAGGTAACCATGGTGAATATCCTTCCGCTGTGTGGAGATGCAGGAGCCCTCGATTTAGGCAAATGGATCCATGCTTACATAGACAAGCAAGGGATACATACAGATGTTGTTCTAATGACGGCACTGGTAGATATGTACGCCAAGTGTGGAGACATAGACGCTGCACGGTGGATATTCACTAAAGCTACCAACAGGGACATCTGCATGTGGAACGCTATGATGAGTGGGTTTGCCATGCATGGTTGTGGTGAGAAAGCCTTGGAACTCTTCTTGGAAATGGAGAGAAGAGGAATCAAACCCAATGATATTACATTCATAGGGGTTCTTCATGCTTGTAGTCATGCTGGATTAGTGGCTGAAGGACAGAGGCTTTTTGGTAGAATGGTACATGAATTTGGCTTGAACCCTAAGGTTGAACACTATGGATGTATGGTGGATCTTCTTGGTCGAGCTGGACTGCTTGACAAGGCACATGAAATGATAAACAGCATGCCCATCAGGCCAAATGCCATCGTCTGGGGGGCCCTGCTTGCTGCCTGTAAGATTCATAAAAATACAACATTGGGGGAATTGGCTGCAAGACAGCTTCTTGAGCTGGAACCCCTTAACTGTGGTTACAACGTACTGCTATCAAATATCTATGCATCTGCAAAAAGATGGAATGATGTTGCAGAGGTAAGAAGAACTATGAAGGAAACGGGAATTAAGAAAGCACCGGGACTAAGTTCAATTGAAGTAAACGGGGTGGTTCATGAGTTTATAATGGGTGATCGGACACATCCAAAAACCCAAGAAATCTATGAAATGCTAGGTGAAATGATGAAGAASCTGAAACACATAGGCTATGTGGCCAACACATCAATGGTTCTACTTAACATAGATGAGGAAGAAAAAGAAACAGCACTTAACTATCATAGTGAGAAATTGGCCATGGCTTTTGCTCTTATTAGTACAGCTCCAAGCACCCCCATTCGAGTTGTGAAGAATTTACGTGTTTGTGATGATTGTCACTCTGCTACTAAACTTTTTTCTAAGATCTATGGAAGAGTAATTATAGTCAGAGACCGCAAACGCTTCCACCACTTCAGTAATGGATCTTGTTCTTGTGGAGATTATTGGTAGTGGTGTGAAAGGAGATATCATGGTTCAAAGCATCCACACATTATTTTTTGAAGTTGTTGATACACAAAATACAAAGAATGGTGAGTGCATGACCTTGTATTTTGTATTACTTTGTTGTATTTGTATTGTACATATTTATTTGTATTTRTACTCTTTCCAAACTAATCCTTTAAGTCCGACATCCAAGATATGTGTAGGTGTGAAGTTCAAGCCCGTTAAACTTTTTGAGCATTGTGTTTGGCCCACTTGGAAGAGGAAGAACTGGTGGTGTGAAGGAGAGTGGCTTGGTTTGAAACCAGCAACTTTGCCCAATGGTGTTGTGTAACGTTATATTTAAATCACCAATGCAAAACCATGAGTCTCTATAGGTGGCACAATATCCTTTCACTTATAACTGCAATTCTTGTGTGAATGAGATACTAGTCAACCCTAATAATAGTGAAGCCTATATCGGTGTTTTAAAAGAGAGCAATCCGCCCCTAAGCCCAACCGTATCAATATCTCAACAATTCCAAGTTCTAAACATTTTTGAGTTTAAATTAAAAATAAAATATTAGCATTTATGCCCTTTATGTGGCATYGAATTGTGAATGGACCCAATCCCTTGGTGATAGGTTCCCTACTATTTATTCACTATCATAAAATAAAAGAAAAGTGATCACTTCTATTTTTACTCATAATTCGTGGGACTTGGGATTGGGGAGAAAGGCCTAAGGGAGTAAGAAATAGCGATAGTGGATGAATTTATTAAATAATGTATGTTCTTACCTCCAATCAAATTGATGTACATATACATTTATTGTAAATGAATAAAAGTACATTATTGTTTCATTTTGATATTGGTATGTCTCTATGTAATTATCCTTTAAACAGAACACATATGAGACTCCTGTTAGTTTAGAATGTTCTCAACTGTTGGATAGACTTGGGGAGTTTATCCTGTCAAAGCTAATACTGATGTGCTATCAAAGAAGTTGGGGCAACTTGTCTCAACTGTTAGGGTTTGACCCGAAGCACATGTAGTGTGTATTTGGATGAAACACTGAACTTGAACAATTTTCCAATTATGCCCTAGATTTTGGAGATTGATGGGCAAAACTGGAAAGTTACACATAACCCCTAAACTTGATTATGGTATTACACTAGGTGTTGGATTGAATTGTCTTTGATATGCCAATCAGTGAAATTCATCAAGGGTCAAAACCTATGTATGTTGGTGTAGTCTGATAATTCATATAAGTGGGTGATCATAGTGATAGGATTGGCTCATTTGTTGGACAAAGTGAATGATATGGCTTACACTCTCTGATGGAAACCTAAACTGCCGATAGTGGATTTCAACTATATTTGAGATTTGGTTTTCCAAAATATATTTATATGATATATATTATGTTTTATGAAAAATGTTTGCAAAATGTTTTAATTCTCGGGATCCACCCGAGCAGAGAGTGTAACACTACACCCCCTCAGCCAGGAAAGAGGTCATTCCCTATCGGGTAGTGTTTGATCATTATGGGCCGAGAGGTTAAGTATAAGAGACCATTACAGGGTTGATTACCCAATGAGTTTTATCTTACCTAAGTCCATCCTTGGGTCTTCATAAGACGACTAACTTTAATGATCATTTAAGTGCAAAAGTTGAACCCATATTGAACATATAGTGATGTACTCAGGGGTTCACTATGTTTACYAGTGAATTCGATCAAGTCTTTTCACAGAGGTTGGGCCAAACCCATGTGGAATTATGCGAGATCATTGTGAAGTCCTACGCCATGAAAATTAGGCCTTAAGGTGGCCATGCAACATCTTAGTTCCCTTTGAAGGAAATGGGCCTGATGGTCATAATTAATAAGATTAAGTAAATTGTCACATGACAACTTAATAAGACTAAGTAAGTTGTCATGTGCTCTAGGTCAAATATGGGTTTGGAAATGGGTATGGAGCACTCATCCTCCTAAGAGGATAAGGCTTATCTCTTAATAGAGTCCAGATCCAAATTAGATTTGGATAATTTCCTAATTTGATTAGGACATTGCTCTATAAGGAAATAAAAGAAGAAGAGGGCGAAACAGACTAGAAAACCACTCTCTCTTGTTCTCTCTTTTTCTCTTTTGTCTTCCAAGCAACCCTATCACGACATAGGCTTTCAAAAACTGATATAAATTAGTTTTCTTCTGATTTTTGCAAACAAAATCAGAGGAATTTCAAGCTCACCTTCCCTAGTTTGACCCAACCAGTTGGGTTGCAGTTTTGCTGAAAATTATGTTGCTGAATCAGCTTCACCTATACATTGCGCCATCTTTAGTGGAGACTGGTTTTAGGACTAATTTGGGCATGAAATTCCACCTTGGGATTTGCATTTGTGGTATCCGTATCAGGTATAAATCCCCCTCTTTGTTTGGTTTCAAATCTGGTTTTGCTCAATGCAAGACTGGTCCTAAAAATTGCAGTTTCTCAAAACATAAGAAATTCGATTTCCAAAATGATTAGGAAATTTTTGAAAATTTGCCCAGCCATCTAGCAGGGTTCAGCCATCCATATAATGGATCTTAACCCTTTCAAAAGTGGTATCAGAGCACTAGGTTCATCCCTTGGACTGAACCAAACCAAATTTGAACCAAAACTCAAATCGACAAAACTAGTTTAGCCGATTTGAGCAATTAGYAGAAATCTCTAAGAATTTGGTTCTTAGAGCAGGCCAATGATCTGAAATTTTTATATATATTCCGATATATTATAGAACTGTTCTATTACGCATTCTTGAAATCTTGTATTGAAAATATGATGGAGATCAAACTCTTGATGGTGGCAAGATTTATGTACATAGAATTTATTAATTTGATTATGTGGTATATAATTAATTATTTTTCTTTTTAGAAATAATGTATTCAATTTTTCTGATGTAAACAATAGAAATTAGGGTTTTTCTATTTTTTTACATCGGAGAAATCGTCGGAGCTTGCAGAGAAGACATGAATCGCAAATGAATATCAATCTACATATTGCAGTTTTGCATAGATGCAATTTTTGTCCGGATTGGATTCAAACCATCACACTATCAGCCCTAGCCATTTTATTTTTTATTATATGCTATTTATTTGTTGGTATGATTGTGAATCATATTTGAGAATTATTATCATTACCTATGTGAATTGATGCATTTTTTTAGACGCTAAACTTTTGGTCGATCTGACCTAGTTTTGGTCCTATCTTGTTGGGCCGAACCTATGGTTCTTTGGGGTCTGTTCATAGCCCCTTTGATCACTATTTAAGTGACCCAAAATCGATTTTAGGCCAATGTTTGATGCCCCATTACATGGACCAATTCGGCTCATACTTGAAAAACCCTTTTATATTGGATTAAAGCAAGACTAGCCCATTCTAGCAAATACTATTATATGGGACGAACTGTTTTTGCAGTTTAGCCCATATGACAAGATAAAATTATTGAATAATTTGGTTCATTAATGGGCTAATCATGTGTTAATCTAAATGGATATAGGTTTTACAAGTTTTGAATTGATATGGATCAATTATGTATATGTATGAAATGTGTTGAATGGATGTGATTCATTCATGGGCCATAAGTGTTTGGCCCATGTATTCACTTATGTGGCTCTCCACAAACATCATGGCTGAATGCACATCATTGTCATGATGCTAATAGATATTGCATGATCTCATTTTCTAATGGGTCCCCTCAATAGCTTCCTCCCCAAGAGGAATCTCATGAGAATCCTAACCCATGAAAGGGTCCATTTGAATCTGACTTTATGAAAGCCAATGGGAGCCAATATGGTATAACCTAAATATGACCTAGGGACCGATATATATGTTTTCTCATGATTAATATAAGCGCAATGAGATAAGGAATATCATAAGATGATATCTCTAAAGGCCTTCCGTCATTAGCATGAAAATGGACTAAATTGGTGGATGGAGATGCACTATAAAATTGGGCTACCAATTTCATTGAGACAACTAGTGGGATTGCTTCATGAGATGATAGGAGCATCATACACTAGTGGGAAGGGCTTATCTTAAAATGGAATACTCTTTTACAATACCTTGGGGTTCCTAATATCACAGGTTTATGCATGCCAATTACAAATGTTTAACCTAAAATAACAATGAACTTTGTGTGATAAAGGCCAAAGGGAAAGCTCATTGGATGAGTGAAACAATTGGCCCCATGCACCTATGTGATTTCCCACATTTCCATGGACATGAACTATATCCTCGTTAGTGAGATAGGAGAGAAATATTAGAAATGGAATATAAATAAAAGTTCATTCCATGAAAGATAACATGAAACAATATTAAGGTCATTAACTAGTTAATTGTGCCTTTTATCATAAATGGCATATAGACAGTTCGCTAAATTGTTAGACGACAACAAATTGAAAGGTTCCAACTATGCAGACTGGTTTCATAACCTAAACCTAGTGCTCAAATCCGAAAAATTGGACAATGTTGCCACAAACTCAGCACCAGAATGTCTAGGTGATAGGGCTTTTAAGGCAAGAACAAGGAAATATCAGGAATGGGAAGAGAAAAATTCTCTTGCCCGGTAATATGTCATAGCCTCCTTGGATAATTCTATACAGAGACAGTTTGACAAAATTAATATATGCAAAGATGTCCGGGCCAAGCAAATGGTTCTGCAAGACAAATGGTCCCCAAACTATTTATGACTATGAGGATAACCGAAAGCCAACCAATTCATGGCCATGTCATGCGTATGATAGGTAATATAAATGAATTTGAAGCTCTTATCTCTCAACTTGACGGTGACACCAAGATTAATGTCGTCATGAACTCTCCACCTTCATGCTTTAATCAATTTGTCATGAACTACAACATGAACAAGCTAAAAGTTAACTTGCAAGAACTTAACAATATGTTGCAAAGAGTTAAAGAATGGATTAAAAATGATAAACTGGTAGTTATGCTTAAGGTGGCAAATTTGGCAAGAAGAAAAAGAAGAATAAGAAAAAAGCCTAAAAAAAGGGAGGCAAACCGGAAAAGCAGAAAAGATACAAGTCATCTAATGAATGTCACTTCTACAAGAAAATTGGGCACTACAAGTGGAATTGTCTTCAATATCTGGAATTTCGCAATAACAAAGAAGGTAATTTCGAATCTGTTGTAATAGAGACCAATATGTTGGTCACTTCTGCATCCCAGTGTATTGACTTTAGGGTTTCCACWCATGCATTTAACACGTTGCAAGGATTTAAGGAAAGTAAAAGGTTGAATAATGATGAAGTTGTGCTTTACTTGGGGACGACTACAACTATTGCAGCTACTGCTATAGGAATAGTGATTTAATTTTTAGGAAATGAATTGTTACATTAAAAGATTGTCTTTATAGACCTTTACTTAGG